TGATGTGAAGACGCCTTTTAAATCTGCACATAGTGTGATTTTGATTTTCGTAATCTCAGGCTGGATTTGTGCCTAATCCTTTCCAAGGTTTCCCAAGAGCACGAATTGTCCTGACTTTTATTGATTTGCCGTAAGCATTAAGAGACGTAGAAAGCTGATGAAGACACTACTGGCAGTTAGCATGGCCTTTTACATTTCAGCCCTTCTAAAATTAATCATTGAAGAGGTGGAGGCGGTAGACGCTCACACACTGCTGGTTTCTTGGTACGACCCCAAAAATGTGGAAGGAACCCTTGGGGGCTTTACAGTCTCCGTTGGACTCTACATTCCAGACTCGGTTAACGAACCACACTGGCGGCATGTGGCCAACGTAACCGCGGACTCGCGATCGTACAGGATCACTGATTTGGAGCCCGACACGCGCTACCAAGTCACTGTTCGTGGTTATGTCCTGCCGAACGAGGAGGGTCATGGTGGAGGCTACAGCCAATATTCCTATCCTCGAACTGCCTCAACGTGGTCTCTTGGTAGGTGACGCGAGTTTTGACGCTAACACTTGTCTTTGTTAAAATGCTTGCAGCCATCTACACCACAACAACTTGGGGCTCAAGTGGGACCACATAAGGTAGGCATATAATGGGGCTGTGTCGATACTGAAAACGTCGCTGATGCACTGTTTGCTTGTGGGTGCATTTGTTTGCGAAACGGTTCCACATGAAGCACCCTTGTAAGGAAGAAGGTGAGAGGGAGAGAACGAGATTGATTCTCAACCCTTTATAAGCTGTCTCAACCCAGTTGAGTTGTGTGGGTGCGTGCGTGCGCTCGCAGTAGTGCATGCCTAATGAAGGTATTGATTTATATGTCCTGGATGAACTGGATAACGTTCAAATAACTGAATGGTCAGAAGTGTTCGACTGATAGCAGAGCAGGTACAAACTGTGTGTGAGTGCAGATGGTTCTCCATGGCCAAACTGAAAAGAGGGCAAAGTGTCGCAGTCTGCATCGACCAGATTACAGGACGTGAACCAATATGATTTGCAACAGCTCTCGAGTCTGCAGAATGCATTGATGAGACTGCTTCGAACACCATTTCTGGAAGGTAGGCTGTAGGTTGTGCGCAGTTGAGATGTCCACATTGTAAAGGCCGGTGTTTATAAAGAGTTGGGAATCTGGAAGTGGGTAGTTGTGATTCTAGAATCAAAGTAAGTCCAGTGAGACTGAGTACGAAATGCTGCCGAACCAGGTGAGAAATGAAAATCGAGAGATGAGTCAGTGTTGAGTTTGGCAACGGTTGCAAAATGAGACACGGCTTGAATACACAGGAATTGGGTTATGAGACAATGCGGTGATGGGCGCGAATGACGATGGAAACTGTTGCATCCTATCGGGCATGTAAGGGTTCATCGTGGGGTCTAATGGAGTTAGCGGTATCCCATCTATCAAGAAATTTTCTTCCTTTGAAACAAGTGTTGTGATCAGGCGAATGAAGGTGACTGACATAGTGGACAGTGGCAGCAATCTTTTTAATGTGGGAGTGAATGTAAGTATTCTGCTGCTGTGGCTTTTTGCTAGCAGGCAATTTTTTTCCGCGAAAAGCTGGCTTGAGACAGTCAACAGAAGCGGTGTTGAAGTGGCTGTGGATTTAGCACTACCATACAACCCTCTAATTAACAGCCCAAGATAACTCGAGTAGAGTGGAAAAGAGGCGAGAGCGGACACGACTGGTTTATTGGCGTCAGAACAGCCAAGTGGTTTAGTGTGCGTATGAGTACCCGTGCGTAATAGGCGAACGCTGACAGAGGCCAATAACAAAAGATGTGACTCACTGGTCCACTCGGGCCCTCTTACACGCATCGCTCACGCGAGGTAGCTGTCAGTCCACTACAGTGTCTTCTTTTCCGTTGTGTTTGACGATTAAGGCCTTTTCATTTCGTCTGAGTACTCTGAGTGGCCCATCTTCGTAGGTGGGTTTCGTCGGAGATATCCTGCATCGTGTGAAACAATCAAAGCCAGTTAAAAGAAAACGAAACTTTATCGAGTGTGGAATTGCTTCCACAATACCGACGTGCACATGATCGACCCATGTGTTAGGGAAGTTAACTGGAACAAGGGGCTCTTACTGTGCTTGTCTACCTTGAATAGCCGGCAGCTGACGCAATTTAGAGTGCCCCGTTGGATTTCTCGATCTATTGCTGGCCAAACGTAAGAATTTAAAATGAACTATCTTGTTGGTGGTTGACCCGCATGAGCGAAAACGTAAAGGACGTGGAACAAAAGGGCTTCGCACATCAGTTGGAATGTCGTAGACAATTGTACTTGCAGATGAAATCAATGGGGAATCAATTAGCTGTGCAGCTGTATTTGGTTCACGACACTCCTACATTCCTTGATCGGATTGTTCAGTGATCGAAATGTGCTGAAAACTCACGTCGGTGTACTTGCGTGTGCGACATCGATGTGCACTCGAGAGAGTGCATTGGCTGCAGTATTGTCTTCACCTCTTTCGGCTATAAACTGTCGGATGAAATTCAAGTGTCATGATTCTCTTGGTGATAACTCATCGGAACCCCAACGGTTGGCGAAGGTCAATGGTTGTGGTCGTGTAGTTCGTGAATTGCCGATGTTCAGAGAGACATTTAAAGTGTTGGACAGCGAGGTAGGTAGATAGCCAGAAATTCTTGGTTAAAGGTGCTGTAACAGAATCGGTCCCTTCCAATCACCATGTGTTGCGACTAGACGTACGAACACAAGTTAATATTTGGCGAGATTTAGAGTAGATTTGAAGATAGCGTCTTCACACAGAAATCTGAATCAAATTCTGTTCCCCACGTATACTATATTTCAAAATCACCAGGAAATTAGATATGTCACACATCCTCAAACAAATGCTCTTCTTTTATTGACACGTAAAGCAACAGCAACCACAACACGTCCCGTCATCCAGCCCACCGTTTTCCTTGACCGGACTGATGCATCCGGATTCCACCTAAGATGGAATTTGCAAGATGTTATGCCCGATTCAATACAGAAAATCGAGCTCATCGC